TCTAACCTCATTTTTTCCCAAAATCGAGGTTAGATAGTTTAGATAGTTTAGGGGCTCGTCTAAACTATCTAAACTATCCAAACTATCTAAACTATCTAACCTCCTTTTCTACCAAAATCGAGGTTAGATAGGTTAGATAGTTTTGAAAGTTTCAAACCTCCTGGGGGCCTCCCCGTAAAGAGGTTAGATAGTTTAGATAGTTCAGGGGCTTCCTGAACTATCTAAACTACCTAAACTATCTAACCTCTGGCTGGGGACGACCCAGAGGGAATTGAAACTTTCTAAACTATCTAAACTATCTAAACTATCTAACCTCTGTTTTCCCAAAATCGAGGTTAGATAGTTTAGATAGTTTAGGGGCTCGTCTAAACTATCTAAACTATCTAAACTATCTAAACTATCTAACCTCCTTTTTTCCCAAAATCGAGGTTAGATAGTTTAGATAGTTTAGGTAGTTTAGATAGTTTAGAAAGTTTCAAACCTCCTGGGGGCCTCCCCGGAAAGAGGTTAGATAGTTTAGATAGTTTAGATAGTTCAGGGGCTTCCTGAACTATCTAAACTATCTAAACTATCTAACCTCTGGCTGGGGACGACCCAGAGGGAATTGAAACTTTCTAAACTATCTAAACTATCTAAACTATCTAACCTCGATTTTGGGAAAAAAGGAGGTTAGATAGTTTAGATAGTTTAGGGGCTCGTCTAAACTATCTATAAACTATCTAAACTATCTAAACTATCTAAACTATCTAACCTCCTTTTCTGCCAAAATCGAGGTTAGATAGTTTAGATAGTTTAGAAAGTTTCAAACCTCCTGGGGGCCTCCCCGGAAAGAGGTTAGATAGTTTAGATAGTTTAGATAGTTCAGGGGCTTCCTGAACTATCTAAACTAGCTAAACTATCTAACCTCTGGCTGGGATTGAAACTTTCTAAACTATCTAAACTATCTAACCTCGATTTTGGGAGAAAAGGAGGTTAGATAGTTTAGATAGTTTAGGGGCTCGTCTAAATTATCTAAACTATCTAAACTATCTAAACTATCTAAACTATCTAACCTCCTTTTCTGCCAAAACCGAGGTTAGATAGTTTAGATAGTTTAGATAGTTTAGATAGTTTAGATAGTTTAGAAAGTTTCAAACCTCCTGGGTGCCTCCCCGTAAAGAGGTTAGATAGTTTAGATAGTTTAGATAGTTCAGGGGCTTCCTGAACTATCTAAACTATCTAAACTATCTAACCTCCTTTTTTCCCAAAATCGAGGTTAGATAGTTTAGATAGTTTAGATAGTTTGGATAGTTTAGAAGTTTCAAACCTCCTGGGGGCCTCCCCGGAAAGAGGTTAGATAGTTTAGATAGTTTAGATAGTTCAGGGGCTTCCTGAACTATCTAAACTAGCTAAACTATCTAACCTCTGGCTGGGGACGACCCAGAGGGAATTGAAACTTTCTAAACTTTCTAAACTATCTAAACTATCTAACCTCTTTTTTTCCCAAAATCGAGGTTAGATAGTTTAGATAGTTTAGGGGCTCGTCTAAACTATCTAAATTATCTAAACTATCTAAACTATCTAACCTCCTTTTTTCCCAAAATCGAGGTTAGATAGTTTAGATAGTTCAGGGGCTTCCTGTACTATATAAACTATCTAAACTATTTAACCTCCTTCTCCAAGAAAGCAAAGTAATCACATAGTACCTAAAGGTCCCTCTTACATATATATATATATGGTCGCTCCCCCCCCCCCCCCCCAGATCCACACTTGGAGGGGCCGACCAGTATCACAACTACTTTTAGACGACCCATGAGAAATACTCCAAGCCAACCGCTGTAAATACCGACAAAAACGCGTTTTGCAAACAAGTTATGGCTCTATGATGTTGTGGTTGCTTGTTCGTTCTGTTTCTCGAGGTCCGGATTCTGGACCTCCGTCTTCTCGATTTCATATGTGTGTTTGCCACACCTGCCAGTGTTTTCGTAACACGACCATGTAAAAACATCGACAAACGCAAGTTTTGATATCTTACATGCTCAAAATATTCAGCGCTGTAGGCTCCCCAAAACAAAATCCCATAAAACAAGTCACCAGGATATTATTTGCTGATTTTTTTGGTACCTCCTCGAGGTTTTGCAAGGTTTTGCTGCAAAACCTCGACGAGGTACAAAAAAAACAAAGCTCAAGGATCAAAATGATGCAAAACCTCGAGGAGGTACGAAAAAAAGTGAGACTATCGGGTGATCCGGGGCTGTAGGTCTCATAGTTTTTGTTTTTTTGGAACCCCTCGAGGTTTTGCGGCATCTTGGTGCTTGAATTTTGGTTTTCTTGGTACCTCCTCGAGGATTTGCAAGGTTTTACTGCGAAACCTCGAGGACGTACCAACAAAAAACAAAGCTCAAGGATCAAAATGACGCAAAACCTCAAGGAGGTATCAAAAGCCCAAAAAAACAAAAATATGAGACTCTGCAGGGATCCGGGGCTGTAGGTCTCAAAATGTTTTTTGTGTTTCTTTTGGGTACCTCCTCGGCTTTGCAGCATGTTGGTGCTTGAACTTTGGTTGTTTTGGTACCTCCTCGAGGTTTTGCAAGGTTTTGCTGCAAAACCTCGAGGAGGTACAAAGATTTTGAGACTATCGGTGATCCGGGGCTGTAGGTCTCAGATATTTTTGTTTTATTGGTACCTCCTCGAGGTTTTGCAGCATTTTGGTGCTTGAACTTTGGTTTTTTGGTACCTCCTCGAGGTTTTGCAACGTTTTGCTGCCTCTGTTAAGCAACCAATAAGCAAACCACGACATCAATCCTAAAAAACACACCTGAGCTAAGATATCTGAAGCAATCATCCACCAATAAACAAAACCTGAACTTTATACTATACCTGAGCAAGATATCTGAAGCAATCCCCAATAAGCAGAACTTGAACTCAATACTATACTAAACCTGAGCTAAGATATCTGAAGCAATCATCCCCCAATAAGCAAAACCTGAACTCTATATTAAGCCTGAGCTAAGATATCTGAAGCAATCATCCCCCAATAAGCAAAACCTGAACTCTATACTAAACCTGAGCTAAGATATGGGAAGCAATCATCCCCCCAAGAAGCAAAACCTGAACTCTATACGAAAATCCTGAGCTAAGATATGGGAAGCAATCATCCCCCCCAATAAGCAAAACCTGAACTCTATACTGAACCTGGCTAAGATATCTAAAGCAGTCATCCCCTAGTAAGCAAAACCTGATCTCTATACTAAACCTGAGGTACTAAGATATCTGAAGCAATCATCCTGCAATAAGCAATACCTGAACTCTATACTCCACCTGAGCCAAGATATGTCAAGCAATCATACCCCAATAAGCAAAACCTGAACTCCATACTAAGCCTGAGCTAAGATATCTGAAGCAATCATCCCCCAATGCGCAAAACCTGAACTCTATACTAAACACTATATACCTTAGCTAACGTGTCTTAAGCCATCCAAAAAACTATGCCTTAGCTAAGATATCTCAAGCCATTCTTGCCTGAATTATTTCATATATCGATTTAGTTTCTTTCTATATTGAAGTTCGTGATAATATTCTAGTCGTATTTAATACATGACCATATATATATATATATAGATAGATGGTACATACTCTCTCTCTCTCTCTCTCTGTCTGTCCCTTTGTCTCTCTCTCCCTGAGTGTGTCCCTCGCGCTTGTCAACTGGGGTTTGCACTGTCAAGGTTTTCGTACAAGAGCAAAGTTCCAACATGAATGAACTAATGACGCATACAGAAATTTCGGCGATCAAGACTACAAGCACTCAGATGCGGATCTTGGGGGGGGGGGGGTCAGCATATATAGATAGATATTCATAATTACACGCAAGCGTGTGTCGAGATACCTTGTCTATATATATATATATACATACGTATACACACGTGTCGGGATATAAGATCTTGTTATGTGTGGGCAGACACGCAAATGGGAGAGAAGCAAAAAGGAGGGAGAGAGATAGAGAGAGAGAGAGAGAGAGCGAGAGCATGATTGGCATGGAGCTTATACACGCACATTTCTTCTTTGTTTGTAATTCGTGCTAACACACACACAGACATATATATATATATATATATATACACCATATAGATATAGGTATTTACATATTTAGATATGTATAATGTGTGTGAGAGTTCGAATATAAATCAAAACTCCATCTCGGCAGTCTGTATATATGTATATTTGTAGGTATGTTTATGCACACACACATATATATATATAGATATATACGCACTGTATAGAATCAGTATATACATATATGTCTGTACAAACATTTGTGCATACATGTATATATATATATATATATTTGTATATAAAGCCTATATAATATCAACCCTATCTACCCTAAAAACCCTAAACCGTTTTAGCAACCTTGCTTCACGAAGGCCCAGCAGTTGTTGTAACGGAATCGGATTTCAGGATTGAGGAGGGGTTGTATACGGCAGTATATATGTACGCTTTGCGGAGTTCGGCTTTGGATCAGTTTTTCGTTTTGGGTTCCATTCTTAAGGGGTCTACGGTCCAGCACTCAGTTTCAGGGGTGTAAAGAGGGGCTTTTCTTCTTACATAGGTTGCTTTGTTGAACACACACCCTTAGCTTTTGATTTTTTTAGGTGCCCCGTCCTATATTTTTCGAACGTCCGAAATTTGGACGTAGAGGCGGGGACCAGGTAAACCCTAAACTCCCAAGACGGCTGCAGAGTGTGGCGGGCTCTGCGCTTCGGACTTCGGGTTTCGGACTTCTGGCTCAAGGTTTCGGTGGCGGCCCTCAACCCTAAACTTTAAACAGGAACCTACAGCAGGACCCTAAACCCTAAACCCTAAATTTTAAACAAGAACCTACCCACCCCCGCCGCCCCACGTGCAGCCCTACAGCAGGGCGGTCAAAACACACCATAATATCGGAGATTGCTTGGGGCCCCTGTTTAAGGGATGTGATTAAAATACGAAGCCTTGTATATAGGGGTACCCCCCAATATAGTATGCCATGGAAATGTCCTGGCACCTGCTCATGGCGGCCCTTGGTGCCATACGTGCTGCTGGCCGCGGTTCTTGCCGGCGGCTTGGCGAGTCGCGGAACGCTTTCACTTTCCAATTGCACGCAAGCTGAGCACCGTCATCAGCAGTCTGCAGTGAGCGGCGAGCGGGGCGAGCAAGGTGATTTCACACACTTTGTGAGCGAGGCGGGCCTGCGTTGCGGAAGTCAAGTGCGCAAAGACTGCTGCAACCTGCCGGCCGCCACGTCTTGGAACTCGAAATCGACTGCAGTTAACGCGACAGACTCCAGCATGTCTTGTGACTTGTTGGAGTCCTTTCTGCGCATAGTCAGCCCGACGTGCCCGTGGATGAACTCGACATGCGCAACTTGCGCACCGCCCCAGCGCAAGGGAAGGCCTTTCCGAGTTGGCATATTCGGAGGATCCAACACGGCGGGGAGGGTGATGCACAGAGTCTCGTGGGCCTACATTGTGAAAAAGATATTGGATGCCTTGGAGATCCCAGTCCGGGTGGACAACAATGGCATTGCAGGGCACGGCGCCGAGTTTTGGCTGAATTGCCAACCTACGGCAACTTATGATGTGGCTATGGCAGAGTTCGCAATCAACGAAAAGTCGACACAGAACATGCAGTCGTTTCTCCGACTCCTGGCGAGTGTTGCACGGTACGTGGTGCTTGTGGAGCTTTTTTTTTGGGACGTGACTGCGCCATATGCGCCCGGCCCGAGCTACAGTGTTGGCGAGCTTGTCTCAAGGAACAGCATGAATGAAACTTAGCTAAATGAGCACACTTTACATTTTTTGGGCTACCATAATCTCTCCAAAACCAAAAGTGCACACTTTTTTTGGGGGGGGGGTTTGTGATTTCAGCAACTAAGGAAAGGTTTTGCATGTTGAACATGCGGAAGGCTGCTTCCATCTACTGGAGGCAAGTGTCCCCTTTCACGACGCGGGAGCTGTTTTCCGTAGTTCCCGAAGAATGCCACAAAGCTTTGGAGGATGAGGACTTCAAGTTGCTGAAGCAGTGCAACAGTCAGTTCAGCCGCCACTTCTTGCACGGAAACCAAGCTTTTCAGGACTTGTTAGGCATTTCCGCGGCATGGACGCTGGTACACTTACTACGTACCATTGAGCCGGACGAGAAGAGCACCCTGCCAAGCATGTCAGCTTCCTTGTGCTTCGGCACGTACGGTTTCGCTCGTAATTCTTTGGACCCTCGATGGGATGAGCTGGGAAGCATCGTGCCCACCTCATCATTGGAAGAGCTGGACTTTGAGAGACTTTCCGGGTTTCAGTATGGAGACCCTTTTGGGGAGACTTGGTGGCCCAGTGGTACCTTTCACCCTTTTTTGGGGGGGTTCAAGGGTTCCCCTATAAAAGTAACCAACCCAAAAAAAAGGGTGCCCTTGTTATGATATGGTTTCTGGGCTACTAAGGAGAAGAGACCGCAGAACTACAAGAAGTCCATGTATGCGTCGACGGCTGGCTCAACGCTGGTTCTGCGCCTTGCTCCTTGCACCCGCAAGGTGGGGGGTCTACGAAAATAGGGGACCCCGAAAATAGACCCCCAAAGAGTCTAGGGTTCCCTTAAAACAAAGGGACCCAAAGAGCAGGGTTCCCTTAATATAAAACGACCCCCCTCAGTAAGGTACCCCGTATTTCGGAAACCCTAGACCTTAAACACTACACCCTAAACCCTAAACCCTAAACCCTAAACCCTAAACCCTAAACCCTAAACCCTAAACCGCCCCCAGGTCGGCGTCGGCTACGTCTGGCACGCCATGCCATCCGAGGGCAGCCGGTTCAAAGTCACAGTCCAAGGCACCTCAAAGTCTGTCAACACAAGCGAGGCTGAGGATCATAAAGACCATGGGCAGGAGCGTGTAGGTAAGTTCGTGTACATGGACATCAACCCGAGCCTTCCCGCCCGATTGAAGATCACGACGGTCAAGGTGCCGAAGGGTAACTTCGTGGAGATATGTCGGCTGGTGTTCTTTGGCTGCCAGAAGTGGGAACCTTAAACATCTTCAGTGCCTTGAAGGTGCCCCCATGTTCTAAGGTTGGAATCATTGGCCCTTTGTATGGTCCCTCACCCTTGTATGGGCCCTTATTATTAAAAGCGTATGTAGTGGTTATATAGCAAGGGGCCCAAATTAAGGCCCCACACTTGGAACCGTAAAACCCTAAAGCCTTAACCCCTCAACCCTGGCCGATGGATGTCTCACCTGGTTTGTTTTAGTGGCCCCAGCTGCGCGCAACAGGCCCTGGCCGGGACAGCCACATACCAGGTTTAGGGAAAATTTGGGCATGTGCTCGGCTTATGTCCAGGCAGTGTCCAATGTCGAATCCGAAGGGTGAAAGACTCCAGCTTGCGTTTTTTGAACGTTTTTCGACTTAAGGCTTGCAGTATACCCCATAAACCCTCAACTCTAAACCCAAAAACCTAAACCCTTTTAGAGCTTGCTTCGACCTTCTAATGCGGTTCTGGATCTTACGAAGTATGATGAAGTGCTCAGCTGATGCTACACACAAACCAGGTATGCAAGCACGGAGCTAAACCCTCGCGATAAACCCTATACCCTTAACCCTAAACCCTAAACCCTGATGGTCATCGCGGCCAGGAGCGTGACGTTGTCCAAGTGAGCAGTCGCATCTGTGGAGTGACGAAGAGACGCGGAGGGGCAACACGTGGGTTTAGGGTTGAGGGTTTAGGGTGTTGGGTTTTAGGGTTGAGGTTTTAGGGTTTAGGGTTCAGGGTTGAGGGTTTAGGATTGAGGGTTGAGGGTTGAGGGGGCCCACCTCAAGTTTTCCAACACAACATCGTGCATGGCCTTTGTGCATCACCAGTTGGTCTACTGCAGGGGGCCTAAGAATTAGTGTAGAGGTTTGGTTTGTTTTGAAAGATATCGTCGCAATTATTCCGACCCCTATATTGCACACAGGATCCCGGCCAAATGCTGAAGTGCGTGCCACGTCGAAACCGTTTTTGGCCCTCCCGCGGCCCAGAACAGCTGCTTTATAGAATCAGAGTTCAATAAAAGAGGTAAGTTGGGATGTGGCAGTCCTTAGTCGGGTTCCAGTACCCCCTCTTGTAATCCCTATGAAGGACTGGTAGTATAGGGGGTAACATCCCAAGAGGTAAGGGCTCCCCCTTTTCCCGAAAGCATCGCGAAGGGTTCTTCCGTGCGGAGCCCTCTGACCCAACAACATAGAGTGAAGTACATAGAGTCAAGTGCATAGAGTGAAGTGCATAGAGTGAAGCGCGTAGAGTGAAGTGCATAGAGGGAAGTGCATAGAGGGAAGTGCATAGTGTGAAGTGCATAGAGTCAAGTGCATAGTGTGAAGTGCATATAGTGTGAAGTGCATAGAGTCAAGTGCATAGAGTCAAGTGCATAGAGTGAAGTGCATAGAGTCAAGTGCATAGAGTGAAGTGCATAGAGTCAAGTGCATAGAGTGAAGTGCAAGTGCAAGTGCATAGAGTCAAGTGCATAGAGTGAAGTGCATAGAGTGAAGTGCATAGAGTGAAGTGCATAGAGTGAATTGCATAGAGTGAATTGCATAGAGTGAAGTGCATAGAGTGAATTGCATAGAGTGAAGTTGAAGTGAATAGAAAGTGCGAGATTTACGTAGAATTTAGTAGACCTTCGTACCCAGTCCTAGATTTCTAAATTAAAATTGCTCTTTCTAATTAAAATTACTCTTTCTAAGGCGGAGGGCTGGGTTGACATCGCCAATGCGTGGTCGCGGTGCTAAAACCGTCGTTTTTTTACGTTTCTTGATTTGCGCGGACAACCCTCTGCGGGTTTCGGCGTGGTCGCGGTGCTAAAACCGTCGTTTTTTTACGTTTCTTTCTGTGCGCGGACAACCCTCTGCGGGTTTCATCGTGGTCGCGGTGCTAAAACCGTCGTTTTTTTACGTTTCTTGATTTGCGCGGACAACCCTCTGCAGCTGATCGCCGGGTCGCGGTGCTAAAACCGTCGTGTTTGGTACTTTTTTTCGCGCGCGCGGACACCCTCTGCGGGTTTCGGCGTTGGCGCGGTGCCAAAACCGTCGTGTTTTTGCGTTTCCTGACATACAAACGTAACCCCTCTGCGGGTTTCGGCGTTGGCGCGGTGCCAAAACCGTCGTGTTTTTGCGTTTCTTGACATGCAAAAGTAACCCCTCTGCGGGTTTTCGCGTGGTCGCGGTGCTAAAACCGTAGTGTTGTTGCGTGTTTTTTTCGACTTGTGTAGTACAGACGTAGTACGCCGGGGACTTCCGTGGCTGGAAAATCGAGTTTTGTCGTACAAATGTAGTACGCCACGGACGCCCCCGGAGCTTCCGTGGCTGGAAAGTCGATTTTTGTAGTACAGACGTAGTACGCCGCGGACACCCGGAGCTTCCGTGGCTGGAAAGTCGACTTTTGTAGTACAGACGTAGTACGCCCGGGACACCCGGAGCTTCCGTGGCTGGAAAGTCGAGTTTTGTAGTACACACGGACGCCCCCGGAGCTTCCGTGGCTGGAAAGTCGACTTTTGTAGTACACACATAGTACGCCGCGGACACGCGGAGCTTCCGTGGCTGGAAAGTCGACTTTTTGTAGTAAAGACGTAGTACGCCGCGGACGCCCTGGGCGCATGAAAACACCGCAAATAGCATGGTAACGGACATCTGGGCGTTTGAAAACACCGCAAATAGCATGGTAACGGACATCTGGGTGCATGAAAACACCGCAAATAGCATGGTAACAGACATTTGGGCGCTTGAAAACACCGCAAATAACATGGTAACGGACTTCCGCGCGCGTGACGACACGGGGATGTTTTTGTCCTTTCTCGTTGAAAACCTCGCAAATATCGTGGGACTCGAATTCCGGGAAAACCTCGCAAATATCGTGGGACTCGAATTCCGGGATGTCGAAACCCTCGCAAGTATCGTGGGAGTCGAATTCCGGGATGTCGAAACCATCGCAAATATCGTGGGACTCGAATTCCTCGAAAACCTCGCAAATATCGTGGGACTCGAATTCCGGGATGTCGAAACCCTCGCAAATATCGTGGGACTCGAATTCCGGGGCATCGAAAACCTCGCAAATATCGTGGGACTTGAATGCCGGTGCGTCCAAAACCTCACAAGAGAACCTCGCAAATATCGTGGGACTCGAATTCCGGGATGTCGAAACCATCGCAAATATCGTGGGACTCGAATTCCTCGAAAACCTCGCAAATAGCGTGGGACTCGAATTCCGGGATGTCGAAACCCAACCTCGCAAGAAAACCTCGCAAATATCGTGGGACTCAAATTCCGGGGCGTCGAAAACCTGGGAAATTTCGTGGGACTGGAATGTGAATGCCATGCAGCGGACCGGGAAAAAAGTGATCTCGTTTTGGAGGGAAGGCGCGTGCCGCGACCAGCCACTGGAGCTCGGCGTTGTCTTCAATGCCGATGAAAAGTGTACAGAGTTGACCGCAAGTGCATGGCATTCAACTCCACACACTTGAATGCCATGCAGTTCCATACACGTCCACTGGACAAGTGCAGTGTACAAGTTGACTATGCAACCATGTAAGTGCATACATTTGTCCAAGTGCATGCAGTTCGAGTGCAAAGAATCAACTGCATGGAGTAACGCACGGCAAATCGATGCTTTCGGGCCATCCCTCTTCTAGTTTTTGTTCAGGGCTGTTCTGCGAAACCTTGGGCTGTTGGCGTTGGATACTGACAGTCCTTTACCTGGATTCTAGTACCCCCTATGATAATCCCGATTTAGGACTGGTAGTAGAAGGGAGAACATCCCAATGTTTGCACAAGCTGCGTTGCGTGTTGTTGTGAATTTGGTGCGGCGGGGCATTTTTGGCTGAGCAGCCGTCCATCTGGGAGGGGTCTGTGGCCAACCCTAAGCCCTAGGGTTCAGGGTTTAGGGACCCTAAACCCTAAACCCTAAACCCTAGACCCTAAACCCTAAACCCTAAACCCTAAACCCTAAACCCTAAACCCTAAACCCTAAACCCTAAACCCACCGCATGGTGTAGCAAAGTAGACTCCGACAGCCTGCAGCATGGAGATGTGGCGATGGGTGCAGAACTGTCCGGCCGTGCACCTCGTGAGCCGCCGAACCTGGACCGTGCTTCAAACTGTTTGCTGATTTTGTAGCCCTAAACCCTAAACCCTAAACACCTAAATCCCGAAATCCCGAAATCCCTGGACGTCCAAAGGACAAGGTAGCGACGGGTGTTAGGGAAAGACCACGAAAGCCCTGACCCCCCAATATAAGAAATTTGACAGGGTAAGGAGGCAGCAAAGGAAATGATCCAAAAGGAGACTTGGAAGCCTTATTTTCCTGACAAATATGCACTGCAGTCGTCGAGAGATAGAGAATGTGTACATATATATATATATATATATTTATTTTTTTTAAATACGGGGCTTGATGAATATGTGTGCAGGCTTAGGGAGACGTGAGTCTTTGTGAGCTTCGATCTTGTTTGCCTGGATTCAGCGTGCGCGTGGTGCTCTAACACTATGTCACGACCTCTCTGCACGCTTGCACATCCGATCAACCATGATCAATCGGACATTGATAACTAGGGTCCTCGCTACCTCACGCTTTGCATACCCCAGATTTACAAAAAAAGCCGACGAACCCTTTGTGTAAAGCCAAGAACTCAAAATACAGTATCCCTAACGCACTGGATTTTTGGATTTTACGAGTTTGTTGGGGGAGGGAGGGAATGATTACAATTTGGCGTTTTTGCCCACTCCCTCCACAAAGTGGGTTGTTCACAAGGTTGCTCAGCAAAATGGAAGAACCTCGGGCAGTTTCCTGCGCAGGGTTCTACTGGAGTCCCACTGCCTACCTGCAGGAGCCCCCAACAGGGGGCGCGGTCACCAAGGCACCTTCCAAGAGAAAAAACCTAATTTTGCTAACCTCCCCTCGAACCATTCAAGATGAGCCCTCATCTGGCCCAGACCTAGCATTTCGAGCCCAGAATGGGGGTCTGGGCCAGAAGAGGCCTTTTTGTGGGGGATGGGGGGTACGGGGGATGGGGCTTTGGGGGCGGGGGAGGATTTGAGGGGGGGGGGGGGGGGTCTGCATGGGCCCTTACTAGTTCTCCTGTCTCCGACACTCTCAAATAGCAAGTTAAATAGCAACAAGCTCCAAAAAAACGATGATTTTTCAGAATCCAAGAAGAGAAAACAGCGATTTTGTACATGCTCGAGCGATTCACCGAAAAAGTGGGTATTCACGGTCGTTTCACGGGGTTCTCACGCGGTTCTCACGGGTTCTCACGCGATTTTCACGCGCTTTTTTTTTCCTGTTAACTCATCTTTCGGAATAACATCGCGCTTCGTGTATTTGCAAGCTTTTCCCTGCCAACCTCAATCTTTCCCAAGCACCTTCTTCTCGCCCCCTTCCACTGAGCGCAGGCTGTGTCCTGACACTTATCTGCAGAGTCCGACCCCTGAAAAGCAGTAGTGGTGGGTCCGGGTGTATCGTGAAGTTCTTATTTGACCGTGACTTGTCTCAGCAACGTCGTCCGAACGCCCTTTTCCCTGACGTGTGCTTGTTGGGAAGCTTCTTCTCCTTTGCTTGCTCGATACATTTGATGTCACTGCTGAAGCGTGCAAAATCTCAAGAGCGCTGTCCAAGGTACGTTAACATCTGGGAAAGTTCTGATGTGTGTCTGTGTGGAGTATTTCTGGCATTGCTTTCTGCATGCCAGCACCTGTTTGTTTAGGGAAGATGTGTAAAGACCTTGCTTTTCAGGACCGTGCTTTCTATGAGTCAGTTGAGTTGCGTTCAATTGATCGTGTCGGGTTGGTGCACACATCTTTTTCTCATGCCCAGCTATGAACGATCGCGATTTCCTTTATTTGAAGTTGTTGCATCAAAATCAAATCACATAGCCCAAGTATGAAATACACAGGCGATTGCTTGTGAGCCATAGGTCCAACTGTAAGCATCGGAGCACACTCTCGACATGTGCCTCGAGACTACCAGGCCTAGACAGAACCAATATCACCACTATCGCAAAGACACTAGCTACAGCTATTGTTTATTCTGCTTTGCTTGGTGGGAATCAGACAGCACTTAGAACCGATGCAGAGATGCATCTGGCTTGAAGAAATTGGCGCCGAAGTCGGGAAATATGACGTGAACTCTGCAAAACCTCCGATATTCCTCTTCAAAAGTTCTAAAGGTACTGCAAATCCCAGAGTTCATAAAAGACAAGGTTACCGCGTCCGATGGCAAAAGACAAGGTAGCCACGTCTGCGGACCGCCAGGGAAATGCCTAAACCCATATATCCCTAAATCCTAAATCCCTAACCCTAAGCCCTAGAAGCCCTATGCAATCCTATGCAACTTGCAAGTGCCCTATACACCCCAGAAATCCTATGCAACCTATAAACCTGAAAGCCCTGCAAAACCTATGAAACCTGCAACCCTCTACCCGTTAGACCCCCTTAGATCCTCAACGCTCCAAACCCCATAAACCCGTTCAGGGTTTAGGCTTGAAATTTAGGGTTTAGGGTTTAGGGTTGCGGACAGCCCGATTCAAATTTCAGAGCAGCTAAGGAATCTCAACCTCCATGCCGGGCTTTCCGAATGGCCTCATGCTCCTGGGCCCACCACCCAGAGACTCCAAAAACCCTTGATTAAGGAGTTTAGGGTTTAGGGTTTAAGGTTTAGGGTTTAGGGTTTAGGTTTGGGGTATCATTAAGGGATATTCCTTAATTAAGGGGTTTTGGAGTCTCTGGGCAAGCCTTACCATCTCAAAGGCTAAACTCTTGTATTTTCCTTTTGGATTTCGGGCTGCTGAGTTGGGATGGGTTAGTTTTAGGGTTTATTCATTTTAGGGTCTAGGATTTAGGGTTTAGGGCGCTGAGTTGGGATCTGGGGTTTGTGGTTTGGTGTACTGCTTTCCATGTGGGCTGCGCTGCGTTGAAATTTGGCCCCTTCCCCCCCCCCCCCCCCCCCTCTCCCCTGCACACGACGGGGCCCATTCCCAGAGAACTCAAAACCCCTTAATTGAGGAATATATACCTTGAATCATATTAGGGTTCCTAGTAATTATATTTTATGGGATATTCCTTGCTTAAAGGGTTTTGGAGTCTTTGGGTTCTTCGCTGAAATCCATCGTCTCTTTTCCTTCTTGCGGCTTTGCAAATAAGAGCCGACGCTCCTACTCGGCATCTCGGCCAACCTAAGTCAATCGTTCGCGCGTTGAGCTCTTCTTGTCAGTCCCTGTAATGGTTCTGGGCAGGGTGCAACCTATTTCCGGTACGCAGTTTGTCAGAGGGTGGGGGGGGGGGGGGGCGAGAAAATAGGTATCTTCAAGGCCAAACTGCATATGGCCAGCTGCTTAGCTAGGCGGGCGGCCAAAACAGAAAACCAAATAATCCCAGACTGGAGCCAGCGACTTAGGTTGATGTTGAGAAAAGAGTTTAAGGTTTAGGTTTTTGATGCAGGGGAGGGGGGGGGGGGGCTGGGCTTGAGCCCTAAACCCCAGAACCCTAAACTCTGGACCCCAAACTTCAGGGTTTTAACCTCTTAGACAAGTGTGAAATGCCAAGACTTCCAAAGCTTCAAAGTGAGCATAACCTTGCAACGCTTGCCCCCAGCGAACCCAATATACCTTAACGTGTAGTGGGTGGGCAGATATGCCGCAATTAAGAATAGTATCCCTTAATTAAGGGGTATTATGGGCTCGCTGAGTTTTCACAGAGTGGACTCTCCCACGGAAACTCCGACACCCTAAACGGCAATCACCTTGCTACCAAGCTTACTGTTGGTTAGTAGGGAATGAGGGAATGAGGTACCCTGTATAGTCCCTTAAAGGGTATATGTAGGGATACGGGGTACCTCATTCCCTCATTCCCTCATTCCCTCCTTCCCCTAAAACCCTAAATCCTAAACACTAAACCCTAAACCCTAAACCCTAAACCAACAGCAAAGGCTTCATGATGTTGCAATCACCCGGAGTCGGCTGAGAGGGCGCTCGGAAGACGTTCTCTTCGCCGAGGATCCGATGCTGCTGCGCCGTCTGAGACGTGGCTTCGTGGGTGCGCAAAAAAACTTTGTGGTACTTTACTGTATCTTTAGAGCCTTAGCCTTTTTGGGTTTATTGGGTTTCTTCATAGGGCACCTAAAAATTTGATTTATAGCTACCCTTCTGAGTGCAGCCAAGATTAGTGTAGGCACTCAACCTTCGGTTGAGAGGGGGGCTTCCTTTCTTAAATTGCAGAATAGTTTAGGGTTTAGGGTTTAGGGTTTAGGGTTTAGGGTTAGGGGTTAGGGTTTAGGGTTTAGGGTTTAGGGTTTAGGGGGAATATACTTTTAAACTACAGGACCCCCTTGTCCTGAATGAAGGCGTATTCTTCACTTCTGGCGGGTGTTGATTTTTTTCTTTTTTCTGGGGGGGGGGGTGTTCCTGGTTGCTGTTGAGCTTTGGGGCGGTTGAACCGCTTGAAACTCCCGGAGTAACATAAGCTCAAGCATTTGCATTTAGGATTGAAACTAATCTCAGGAACGCCACAAAAAGGGGAATCCAGGAGCAGGCACAAAGGGCTTCCCTGACCTTCAAATAAATAAGGGCCTCTACGGGCCCTGACGCGCCGAAGGCCCGAAAAGGGCCGAGGCTACCCCCAACCCCAGCTTAAACCCTAACACCGCAACTTGAAAAACATCAAAGCAAGCTTGCAAGCCAAACTCCCGCGACTTGGGACTCCGGGGCCCTCTGGAAGCTGGTGGACCTCTTTTCTCTAGCCGGACGCTCAGGGCCAAGAGGCTTGGTGCCCCAGGATTTGCCCGTGCCCGCAAGAACAAATGCGATTTTTTTACTAAGAACGACCCCCCAGAAGGGCCAGGAAAGCCCCCAGGAAGCCCCCAAAAGGCGCCAAGAGCCACCAAAAGGCTTGAGGCCCTTAAAGAAGGGGAATCCAGGAGCAGGCACAAAGGTTTTCCCTGACCTTCAAATAAATGAGGGCCTCTACGGGCCCTGACACGCCGAAGGCCCGAAAAGGGCCGAGGCTACCCCCAACCCCAGCTTAAACCCTAACACCGAAACTCCAAGTGAGGGGTCGCTTCCGTCGAGCGACAGACCCCGAACGCTCAGCCGGGCCTTACAGCCCGAGCGCCCAAGCGAAAAGAGAAACGGAAAGGTGAGGGTTAAGCCTCACCGTCTGTCCTGGACAGGCCAACGGACATCGGCCATTTTTACGACAACGTCAGTACTCGGCTAAACCTAAACCCTACACCCCAAGCCCCGAAGCCCTAAACCGAGGCTTAAGCTTCGTGGAGTCTGTGGGAACTGGGGGCGAGGCTACCTTAGTCCGCCGCGGTTTGCCCAAGTTCTTCGACATGGATGCCCAGACCCTCTCTGCCGTCTACTCAGGCGAAGATGCCGGTGAACCCCTGAGCTCAGCTGGGAGTCTGTCCGAAAAGGCCTGCAGAGGTACGCTTTTTTGCCCTGCTTTTGGGTTCTAAAGTTATAGTTTCCTTGTAAAGGAACCAATCCCCAAAAGGGTGCCCGTAGTAGGATGTGCTTACTGGGCTAGCAAGAAGGTCTGCGGCTCGCTGTTGGGTTCTGTCAAGGACGCCATCTCGGGTGGATCATTCGTCGAACTGAGCAGGCTGGACAAGGCAAATGGTGAAAATGCACAGGTGTCCTTCTTCACCGGCACCGGCCAGTGGGTGCTTTGCTCCAAGAATGTATCAATGCTAGCCGCGAACGCCGCAGAGATCGAGCTACCGCAGTGGTCTGACCGCCGCTACCGTTTCGCAAGGCACGTGGCAGAACTCTGGTTTGCCCAGCTGATGGCCTTGCCGGACACGTCGCGCAAGAACCTTGAGGAGACTCTGTCATCCCGAACACTGGTTGGGGAAATGATCGGAGGCAGTGGGGCACACTTGGTGGACTATGGCTCCCTCCGCAGACTGCAGTGGTTTGCCGTGGTGCCGAATCAGGGAGATGAGCTGTGCTGGCCACCTGCCAGCAGCCTGGCTTTCTTTCACCAGATGGGACTGCCCGCAGTCAGACTGAAGCTCCTTGGGCCGGATGCGTGTACATCCCTTGAGGACGCGGTCCGTGCGCTGCAGGAAAACTGCCTGGCGACCGAGAAAGCCACGTTGCAAGACGTGGGCGAAGGCTTTGTAACCTACGTGACCGCGAGGTCCAACGACGATGACACAGGCCGCGTCATCCACTTGAGCAAGATGAAGTCGATGGATTACAGGCTGCTGCGGCGCATGCGGGAGAGGGCCAAAGTCTTCGCTCAGCGGGCTGGGTCCATGCTCGTGGAGGATGTCGTGGAGGAGTACAGGAAACCGGGCCGCAACCCCAAACCCTAAAACCTAAACCCTGAACCCTAAACCCCAAACCCTAAACCCTAATTCAAGCTTTGAGTTCTTCAGGGCAGAAGCGGCAACTCGCCAACTTTGTGTTTCTCAGGGATCCTCCATAGACAGCAGCAAAGGAAAGAGGTGGTCAGTGCCGGACTGGACCCTAATCTGACAACCTGTCGCACAGAAACTTTGCTTTCTTCTGGCTGGGTCTTAGGACTTTAACTTTTTGGTTTTTGTAGAAACTACCCTAAACCCTTAACCCTGAACCCTTAACCTAAAAGTTAAACTTTTAGGAGGGGTTCAGAAGTCAGCCAAGGAAACCCTTGCAAAGCTCTGCCGCATGATCTTCGCTGAGGACGCAAACTGCGCTGCTCATGAAGGGCTGGTTTTAGGGGCTGCGGCCCCCTTAGGGTGTATAGGGTTTAGGGCTTAATTAGGATTTAGAGTTTAGAGTTTAGGGTCGGTTTAGGGCAAAATCGACATTCCCAACAGACCTGTAGCATGCTCGGAGGACATCCCTAAACCCTAAACCCTAAACCCTAAACCCTAAACCCTAAACCCTAAACCCTAAACCCTAAACCCTAAACCCTGCTCGGAGGACATCTCCTCTGAAGCTGTGGACGAGCAGTTCCTGCAACTACTCTATCGGGCCGAGAGCTTTGAGGGCAAGCTTGCGCCCGGGAGGCTCCGCAACCTTAGGGTTTAGGGTTTAGGGTTTAGGGTTTAGGGTTCAGGGTTCAGGGTTTAGGGTTTAGGGTTTAGGGTTTAGGGTTTAGGGGAGCCCGAGAAGAGGTTTGTTTGAAAGGTTTCGAGCGCTTGGGGCGTAGAGGGTTGTTCGAAGGTCTCAGGGTTTAGGATGCAGGGTACACACGTCACAGTGCTTGGAGTACAAACCCTAAACCCTAAGCCCTGAACCCTAAACCTAACCCTAAACCCTAAACCCGGGCTTCCTGGCTTGCCATGCGCTTCTTGAGGGAAGTTTTTTGGGTGGGAGCAGGGTTTCGGGATTTAGGGTTTAGGGTTTAGGGTTTAGGGTTTAGGGTTTAGGGTTTAGGGTTTAGGGTTTAGGGTCACTTGATCCATTCCTCAGATGATGACCTCTTCCGGGTACCCTAGACACGGTCTGCATTGTCATGGGGGGCCCGGAAGAGAACTTTGGTCGGAGAATTGTCCTAAACCCAAACCCCAAAACCCTCTAAACTCGAAACCCTAGACCCTACACAAGCTTGCTAGGGCTTAGGGGATCAGAGCTGCATGAAGGAAGGGAAGGGGGGACTGCAGACGTTGAGCGTTTCTTCGTTGGGTTTACGGTTCAAGTAGGGCTTGGTGAGTAGACTTAGATTTAGATCGGGTTTAGGGTTTCGAGTTTAGGGTTTAGGGTTCAGGGTTTAGGGTTTAGGATTTAGGTTCTGGATGGATGGCTGCTGCGCTGGCCTCAGTTCCAGTCTTAAAAAAGGGTTTAGGGTCTGGGGCGATATTGTGGGATTGTGTCTTAGGGTGGAATATGTATGGAATATGGCGGGAAAGGCCCTAACCTTCTTTGTGGCGCGTTTAGCATAGAATCTCCGACCCCTTCTGCGAGGGCTGCCCCAGTGCTTTGCGTCATCGCACCGCCCGGTGAGATGACAACGACAACCTGGAACTGCTTGGAGGACTTACGTAGGGTTTAGGGTTTGGGGTTTAGGGTTTGCTGGGTGCTTTTTGTGAATGGCCTCACAATGGATTAGAATTTTTATTGCACCGAAACCAAATCTAGAGGCCGCTTCTCCTTAGTCCACCAGCTGCGGCATTTTCGGGATAATGAGAGGACTGGAACTCGAAAGTTCTAAGACAGTGTGAGAAATCTCTGGAGATGTTCCGGAGCGTCTGAGCATGCATTCTTTAAGGCGAGGCTTTTGTGGAGTTGTTCGGGTTAGGGTCGTCTCAATGCCTTGGTAGCCCAGTGGTACTCTTTCCCTCTTTTTTTTTTGCTCTGGGTTCCCTTATAAGGTAACCAACCTGCCCTTATTATAATATGGTTCCTGGGCTACTAGATGCAGTTTGCATCTCAACTTGTAAGCAGAAGGGAAACCACTACTGATCTTCCCGGGTGCCTCTTAAGCATGGCTTCTGGGTAGAACCGTAAGTTACCTTACTAGGGTCCTGACTATACGGGAATCCTACTATTTGGGGGTCAATGTTAGGGGTCCCCTATTTTCCTAAGCCCTCATGTATGGAAACAGCTCTGCCTAAGCTGAGCCGCAGATTCTAGGGCTAAACCCTAAACCCTAAACCCTAAACCTCTAAACCTCTAAACCTCTAAACCTCTAAACCTCTAAACCTTAAACCTCTAAACCTCTAAACCTCTAAACCTCTAAACCTCTAAACCTCTAAACCTCTAAACCTCTAAACCTCTAAACCTCTAAACCTCTAAACCCCTAAACCCCTAAACTCCTAAACCCCTTAAACCCCTAAACTAAACCCTAAAACCTTAAAACCCCCTCCCTTAAGCACCCTAGAACCCCAGAAGCAGAGCACGCCAGGAACTCTTCCGCGGCGCCTTGGCCTGCAGAAGCTGATGCACCAAACTGCCGGTTTGAGGGTCGGAGGGGAGGAGAACCGTACGTGCATGACCCTAAACCCTAAACCCTAAACCCTAAACCCTAAACCCTAAACCCTGGCCGAGGCGAGGAAGGGTCGAGCGACTCCAAAAGCGTACGCTCTCCGGACAGCTTGCAGAAAGGCGACTTCCCAGAGCCTTCCAGGGTTTGGGGTTTATAGGGTTTAGGGTTTAGGGTTTAGGGTTTAGGGTTTAGGGTTTAGGGTTTAGGGTTTGGTGTTTGGGGTTTGGGGTTTGGGGTTTGGGGTTCGGGGTTTGGGGTTTGGGGTTTGGGGTTTGGGGTTTGGGGTTTATAGTTTATAGGGTTTAGGGTTTAGGGTTTAGGGTTTGCGGTTTGGGGTTTGGGGCTTGGGGTTTGGGGTTTGGGGTTGGGGTTTGTAGGGTTTAGGGCTCGGGGTTGGGGATTTCTGAAATTTGTGGTGCACTTCACGACTGGGGGTTCCTCTAAGAGCGATTGGAGTAGATTCTGTGGCAGAAATAAATGGGAGAAACGAGAACTTCGGAGCCCTAAACCCTAAACCCTAAACCCTCAGCCCTAAACCCTAAACCCTAAACCCCTCCAAACCCTAGAGCCTTGGAGGCAATCTCAGTTCAGCCTGGCACGACTCCACAGCTTCGAGAAAGCGGGCCTTCCTCAACGTCAGCCCCCAGGGCCTGGAAAGCCTTTTCTTTCCTGCGCAGCTCTCGCCACTCTGGAAGTACATTTTTTGGGGCTCTCCTTTTTTGTCTTGGGCTCTTGGTGGCTTCGAGAAGTCCTAAACCCTAAACCCTAAACCCTAAACCCTAAACCCTAAACCCTAAACCCTACATGGTTTCAGCATGTCGGAGCGCCGGTGACCCAGGAAGGCCGGCGAAGAGGCTCCCCGCAAGCGCAGGCGCGTGCAGGAAGCTCTGGAAGAGAAGCAGCAGCAAGTCGCGACCCGCTTGGCTTCTGGGCAGTTTTTGGAAGCATTCTGAAATTCTGAAGTTAGGGTTTAGCCCCTAAACCCGAAACCCTAAACCCTAAACCCTAGGTTTTAGGGTTTAGGTTTTAGGGCTTCCCAGCACCAGCCCAGGCATCCTCCTTCAGGAGCAGGTGTCAATTCCTCTTTTGGGGTTGGTCAGATGCGCTGCTGCCCGAGCATGCCAAGCAGACAGCAGACTTGGCACGGCCCTGTCGCACGCGATTCGAGTCTCGCATGTTCGCACGGCTTAAGCCCCGGAGACGGCAGATCCTGGGCAAGCTCCAGTCCCACGCACTGCGCCTCTGGACAAAGCTGCCAGAATCTCAGGCGCGATGGCTACCCACGCTGCCTCGTCTGACAGAGACTCGGGCGCTGTCCACTATGGTCGGCAGCTTCGGGGCACCGCCGCCGAAGAAGGACTTTTCTAGCCCTGGGCCGGGCCAGAATTCTGCGAGGCCCGTGATACAGTCGACCGTCATTGTCGTCATCCCACTGGGTTTACCTGGGATGGGTAAGAGCTCACTGCTTGAGCATCTGTTCCAGTTGGGCCAGCGTTCTGCCTGGAAGGCCTACCGCCAAGGTCAGCTGGTACAGACCGAGAAAGGGGGAGAGGCCAAGGACTCGATCAAACCCTGAAACCGAAATTTAAAACCCCAAATCCTAGAAAAAAGATATGCTGTGTATGAAAAAATAAAAATGTATATATATATATATGTAGATTATACACATAATTTTCCGGTACACACACACACACAACCTCAGCCCAAAGGCCCCTCACTCCGTTGCACCCTAAGCCCTACACCCTTGGCCCAAACACTTTTCACTCTGTTTGCACCTTGAAGCCCATGGCGTGTGCAAGTTAGGGTTTGGGGTTCTTGGGCTTAGCCCTAAACCCTAAACCCTAAACCTTAAACCCCAAAACCCTAAACCTAGGTGCAAGTTTGAGAGTCAAAGCCCAAAGGCACTCCACTCCATTGCAACGCTCTCGAGTGATGAATTCACGGGCGAGGAACTGAGATGTCTGGGCGCCCAGGTTGCACGCAAGAGCCCTGGGGGTTTAGGGGGGTTTAGAGGGGATTGGGGGTTTAGCGGGGTTCAGGGGGGTTTAGGGGGGGTTTTGGGGAGGGGGGGGGGGGGGGGGGTTGTTCAGCTAGGCATGATAAGCCCTTGGGATACACTTTTTTGTTAACATGATTGCCCCTATCGTAACTAGCCTGAAGGCGATCTTATTTAGGAACATCAAACCCTAAACCCAAAACCCTATGGTGCTGCAGAAATCCTAAACCCGAAAGCCTAAACCCTAAACCCTAAACCTTAAACCCTGTGCGAGAGCCGAAACCCTAAACCCTAAACCCTAAACTGCATGTCACATGAGACTCAGTGGGACTTAGGGATGGATGCCGCCAGCAGCAGCTCCAAAGATGTCGTGCGATGCCGTAAACTGGCCGCCAGCCGATACCAGGGAGCGATCGAGGCGTCTTAGTAGCTGAATGAGTACACCATTACAGACTTTATAAGGGTTTAGGGTTTTGTAGGGTTTAGGGTTTAGGGTTTTTTGGGGTTTAGGGTTTAGGGTTTAGGGTTAGGGTTAGCTGAATGAGTACACTTTGCAGGCTTTACACTTTGGTGGGATTGTAGTCCCCTACAGAACTGAAAGTGTGCACTTTTTGGGGGGCTGATGAACTCAGCAACTAAGGAGTTCTTTGAGCAGGCAGCGGCAGCTGCGACGGATTCAGAGAAGCTGCACTTGCTTCTCTTGGATAAGAACCATCCCCCATCTGCACTTCACCGCGAGGCACAGACCTTGCAAGCGCTGGCCGCCAAAGTTGGGTGCCATCTTTGCCTCAAGGCTCTCGCGATCGAGGCAGACTCAGAGGCCACTGCACTGCCGAGCAACTTGCTGCAGGAGGAAGAGAAGCATTTTGGACCGTGGGCATATCCCTGGAGCCCCGGTGTCCTAGCCGAGTGCGCCAGCCGCCTGCTGCTCAGAGCCAGTCACGAGACGCTTTCTGGGAACGAGACGTCGTTGTTTGTTCTCCTGGGTTTTCTACGATTGCACCATCGCCTGGCGCAGCTCAGTGATCTTGCCGACAGCTCCATCGAGGTGGTTCACGCACCGTACATCAGCATTGGAGGACTGGCCTCCTGGCAAGGTCATGATGCTCCAGATCCTTGGCATCAGCTGGAGCTACGTGCCCTCTTCCACCAGGCCCTTCTGGTCATGCAGAAGCCTTTCGCCAACCAGGAGCCCCGACTCTTCTGCAAAGAAGCCCCCCCAAAGTCCTAAACCCTAAACCCGAACCTTCAACCCTTAACCCTTAACCCTAAACCCTAAACCCTAAACCCTAAACCCTAAACCCTAAACCCTAAACCCTAAACCCTAAACCCCAAACCCTAAGCCCATACCGTAGGTCTGTGAGGTGCCACAAAAAACAAGCACCGAAAATCAATTTCCCAGTTCTGAAACCCTCAAGCCCAAGCCCCTAGCCACCCCTGAAGCCCTAATCCCTAAACCCTAAACCCTAAACCCTAAACCCTTAAACCCCTAAACCCCTAAACCCCTAAACCCCGAAACCGCAAAGGCCAGAGCCCCGGAAGCCCGAAACCCGATAAGCCCCAGAATCCTATGAAGCCTGCACTGCGTCTTGCAGTCAGCTGGGCGGGGAGGCAAAAAGACCCTTACACCCCTAAATCCTAAACCCTAAACCCTAAACGCTAAACCCTAAACCCCAAACCCTAAACCCTAAACCCTAAACCCTACGAGGAGCCTGTGCAGCCGCTTCTGTCCGCAATCTCCAGGCTGCTCCTCGCCTCGGGCCTTACGAGTCCCGGCGCCGAGCGCCTCAGCGCTTTCCAGCGTGGTGGGGTTTAGGGTTTAGGGTTTAGGGTTTAGGGTTTAGGGTTTAGGGTTTTAGGGTTTTAGGGTGTTAGGGTTTTAGGGTTGTAGGGTTTTAGGGTTTTAGGGTTTTAGGGTTTTAGGGTTTTAGGGTTTTAGGGTTTAGGGTTTAGGGTTTTAGGCTTTTAGGGTTTAGGGTGTGGGCACTTGGGGTTGAGGATGACAGGTTTGTTTCTGGAGCGTAGCCAAAAGTCACCTTTGCTTGTCGCCCAGAACACGCAGCCAGCCTCCCCAGGTTTAGGGTTTAGGGTTTAGGGTTTAGGGTTTAGGGTTTAGGGTTTAGGGTTTAGGGTTTCGGGTTTAGGGTTTAGGGTTTAGGGTTTAGGGTTTAGGGTTTAGGGTTTAGGGTTTAGGGCCCCAGGAGCCAGGGGCAGCACGCCCGCGAGTGTGCGGAGGGGCTCTGGCCAAGCATCCTCCGTCCCCGTGCCATCCAAGAGTCTGCCCTGCCAGCTGGCTTGAAAAGGCCCTTATTTCCTTTTTAGGGGGTTTAGGGTTTAGGGTTTAGGGTTTAGGGGTTAGGGCTAGGACCCGGAGTAGGGGTTACGTAGGGGGGGGCTACTTAGGTCTATAGGGACTACTTAAGGTATATATAGGGGGGTATGTAGGGGAATAAGACAAACTCGGACCCGGAGTCGGGGCCCTTATTTCCTTTTGTCAGGGTGGGGGTTTCCCTTATAACCAAAAAGGGCACCGTTGTTATTCCTAGGTTACTCCTGAGTCTAGTTGAAGTCTGAGTAGAAAGGCCTTTGGGCCAAAAACCGTAAAATGAGAGCTTTTAGGGCCTTAGGGTAAGGGTTGGGAAGGCGAGTGGCGGGATGCCTGGGATGTTTACGCGTGCGCGGATTGATTATTTGCAGTGTGGACACTGCCAACAGACACCTCCCTTAGAATTATGTACTTGGGCCCGAAAGGGAGGTACTTTTAAGGCCCAAGTATTTCCTAGTTCGGTACATGGACCCTTAGGGCCTTAGAGCCTATGGGGTCTGGGTCTGGACGTGACTTCGGATGTCTTGTTCGGTGCATGGGGTTTATGACTTTAGGTTTGGCTACAGACGGCAGCTGACGAACCCGAGTCTGAGAGAGAGAGGGAGGGAGAGATTTAGCAGCCGCTCTTTTCAGCACTACAATGTGGGCACTTCCCAAAATAGGGGTACAAGTTTTGTACCCCAAATAGAGTAGAATCTCCTTGACGGGACCCCCAGGGTACCCCCTGTTTTCGGAAACTCCCATGTCGCGCAGCCAGCACATGAGACTGACCTAGGCCGGACGTGGTTCCGCCGGTGCGATACGTCGCGCTGGAAGTGGAGCAGCACCACGTAACCCTGGAGGCATGCGGGTATCAACTCTCAGGGTTTGGTAGAGCTGAGGGTTCAAAGTTAAGCGGTCATCCCCAGATCTTTCAAAATCCTGAGTTAAGGAATATACCCTACTTTATATACTAAGGAGCAGTATTATGAGGGTAAGTTCCTTACTTAAGGAAGGGTTTTTGAAAGATCTGGGTCCCTGAAATGTAGCTGTCGCATCGGTGGCCTTTGACTTGTTTGGTGTTTTGGTACAAAGTCTCCACGAAATTCGGGCTTTTGCGTGGCCAAAGTCCTAGTGATGTTGGCCTTTCGGGGTTTAGGTAGGGTTTTAGCCCTACACCCTACACCCTAAACCCTAGCTAGGACCCTGAGCAGGCCCTTACTTCCTTTTTTAGGTCAGGGTTCCCTTATATTCCCCTGAACACCAAAAAGGGTACCTTGTTTACTCCTGGGTCTAGCTAAGCCCTAAACCCTTTTCGGGTTTCAGGGTAGCGTTCTATCGAGGCATTGCTCCGGCGCCTTTCGGACGCCATGCGCATCGTGGCTGGCGACTGCGAGGAAGCTGAGGCGTTCCATTCGCAACTGCCCCTTGCCTTTGTCGCAGCGGGGTAACATTTTACATCTTTAAGTGTACTTTAACTCAACAAGGAATAGAAACTCAATTTTTTACTACTAGCCCAACCATGAACCAGTTGCTGGGTAGGCAAGCTCCAAACCCTTAACCCTTTTCTTAGTAGTAGAGTTGGTAGCCTTGAAGCTTGTTGGGCATTATAATCTTTGTTTAAATCCCAAGGTTAGCCATTAGTTCCCTAGGATCTGGACAACTACGTTTTGGATCTTCTGAAACTCTTATACCCCGAGCCATTGCAATCCCTACCCTGCAGTGCGCATTCTCCATGATTCTGGCATGCTCGCCATTCTTAGTGGGTTTAAGGGTTTAGGCTTCTCTGCGCAACAGAAATAGAGCCGAGGTTCAGTTGGCCGCAGGTCCTTCACATCACTACATGCTACTTGGCTTTCTTCTGGCTGGCTTGAACATCTTGGGCTTTTGTAGAACCTACAATAAGGAGCCTAAAAGGTAAACCTTTAGGAGGGCTTCACCTTAAACCCTAAACCCTAAACCCTAAAACCCCTAAACCCTAAACCCTAACCCCGAACCCTAACCCCTAAACCCTAAAAGCCAAGGCTATGTGGGCGGTGGCACATTGCCAGCCTCTGAACGAGACATCTTGACCAAATCGAAGCAACTGCTTCTGGGCTTTCTCAGTAGATGATTCTACTACGATTTGCCTGAGAACCCCCTGCCCCCCCCCCCCCCCCAAACATAAGTGCAATATAGGGATTGTGATCTTCTATTTTTTGGGGAGCTCTTGAGCACATAGGTCTGGGTCTACATGGTGGCTTTGAGAACCCTAAACCCTAAACCCCTTTCACGAAGGTTCCGGGAGGCCGCCGCGTTTGACTGCGCGGTGACACATCTCGTGGGCGCTCGAGGCCAGCCAGCCCCCGCTGTATCAGGGTTTAGGGTTTAGGGCTTAGAGTTTAGGGTTAGGGTTTAGGGACCCGATCTTGTGCTATATGAGGCAAGGATTATGAGGTAAGGAGTACATTGCTGTAATTGGCCAGTGTACAAGTGGCGCCCTGGTGGGGTGTATATGGGGTGTCCTTTTGAGCATTTGGAAATGCAAAACCCAACCTGGCATACAAAGAATGTGTTTTGTTGACCCCGTCCATCGACCACGTTTTGCCACAATCTTACTCTATAGACCACTAAATTGGACATTGGACATATGTGAAAGCAGCATCTTTGAGCACGCCGCATGTTCTTCATGCCTAGTAGCGGGCTTTCCATCCTCACGACCTTGAGAGCGGATAGCACATCCCAAGCCGCTATTAAAGCAAACCTGTGTCATTCCCGGCTGCATTCTTCACATGCCACGGCATGGTGCTGGCGTTGCCCCGGTCCTGGACGGGGCCCTGTGGCAAGAATGGGGCTGTAAAGAGTTCACAGATTCCTCAAGACTGACGGTCGAATGGCACAGAACGGCACCAGACTCGAATCGTATTCGGAGGATGATCAACGTTTCCTGCCCACGCTCCCTCGGACGTTTTTTCAGAATGAATCTCAGAACTTTGTGCCGCGCAGCATAGCGACGAGGCGCTCATGCTTCGGGCCTTACACAGTTACAGACGAACCATGCAAAGGCAGGGTTTAGGGTTCAGGGTTCAGGGCTTAGGGTTTAGGGTTTCTAGGGCTTAGGGCTTAGGGTTTAGGGTTTGGAGCATGGTGCTTGATTCTTGCAGCCTTTGTAGTCGCCTCTACTCAAGAGCTGCTTGCCGGGACCATACCCCAAAAGGTATACCACAGGGAATCCCAGCTCCATTCATCCTTCAGCCCTGTGGGGGTTTACGAAAGACCCCTTCATCCCCTCATATAGACCCCCAAATAGTAGGATCTCCTTAGAATCAGGACCCCTTAATATCGTAAACCCTAAACCTCTCATGTTCCACTTTCTGGAGTTTACTGCAAGTCAAGGTGAAGCGCTTGGACTCTCGGAGCTCCTGCTTGGAACCTTCAGGCTTTGGGGTTTAGGGGTTTAGGGGTTTATGAAGCGGTCGTCGGACGATCCCGGCGAGACAGACGCACGGATCCCTGCTCCAAGCTCTCTCCTCGTTGAATTAATTATGAGCGTTATACCGAGCCCACGTGACCTTGGGACTAACAAAAGGTGTTGGACAATCAACAGGATCTCGGGGAGGCTGAAAGGGAATAGCCAGCGCCCGACTGTACCGTCTGTGTGCCCAAAAGATGTCTGACAGCTTCCCGACATCAGCCCGCACTGTACCAGGGGCAATGCACATCGACGGTTCGTTAACACCCCAATGAGCAAGGGACTTGGTCCGGGCCATTGGGAAATCAATGAAATCAATGGCAGCTTCTTTGAACATGAACCGTACGATGCTTCCAAACGGGGTTTAGGGTTTAGGGTTTGGGGTTTAGGCCGCGAAGTCTGCGCAGGCGCACTGGCTCTGGCAGTGGTTGATGAGCCAAGGCCCTTGCGCATCATCGCTTGCTGTGCGTTGTGCATGCGCACTTTTTTCGGGGTATAGGGGGACTATACAAGGTATACATAGGGGTTATATAGGGGAATCAGATCAAGAGTCCCCTTCTAGGGGTCCCTCCCTATAGCCCTTGAGGGTTGTTTGATTTAGGCTGCTTGGGATCCGTGCACTACGCTGCTGAAGTCGCGGGAGGCTTCGAGCAGATGGCTTGCCAATCGCAGATGCCCAGAGGTGCACCTTGTATTATAGAACCCCAGGAATGTTAGGGTTTCTTGAGGAGGGGGTTTAAAGGTTTGGGGTTTAGGGGTAGAAATGTTAGGGGTTTAGGGTTTAGGGTTTAGGAAGGGGGAGGGCGGGTTAAAGGGGGGTATGCAACCCAACGTTCCCTAATACTCCACAGTACTACCTAAGGCTCCATGAGCTTCCCTAAAATGCCCTAACCCTCCATGAACCCCCCTCCCTTGATGTCAGTGACCCTAAGATTGCGCCAGCATGGGGAAGTTCATTCTGCGGGCCTGAGCGAAACAAAGACACTACAGTTGGAGAGCATCGCTGTGTTCTGTCCGTGCTGTAGAGGATGCAGTTCAGCTTAGCGATGTTCAGGGTCCCTGTGATCCCCAGCCTGCAGGCCGCACATTACATTGTGCACACGGTCACCATGGCAGCCTCGTCATTCGAACGATGTTCTCAAGGCGGGTGTGGCTAGAAGTTGGGCTTGAATAGGCACAGCCTCATGTATGGCATTTGAGATATCTTCAGCCCCCCCCCCCCCCCTCCCGTCCCCCCCGTGTGGAGGAACAATAATTCCGAATTGAGCAGAAGGCTTACTGATTTTGAGCATTGGGCAGCCCGTACAGGCCGTCTCTTTGCTTCACCCCAAACCCAAGCCTTCTAAGCCCTGCACCTCACGTGCTTGCCGCAGCTCCACTACACAACACCCGGAACTAAAAGGTTTTGGCGATGGCCAGGCTGTCCTAAGCCCTAAGCCCTAAACCCTAAACCCTAAACCGGTGCTATTTTGCCTGCCGGCAGGCTGCCAGGCCATTCCTTGGCGAAGACGTCGGAGTCGGGGCCTTTGGAAAGGTCGTTTTGTGGTTTGGGCTTTTGGCCTGGAGATTCGTGGGTAATTATGAGTAGGGTTACCAACGCCCCAAAGAAGATCATGCATATAGTTTTCCTCTATTTTCACTCTACTTCTGCCATGAACCTCCAGTAGGGCAAGCCGGAATTTGGCAGCTGGAGGCGTGCAAGAATTCCGAGCCGAATGCGTAGTAGGCGTTTGCACACGCATGGCCGCATAGTGCAAGAAGGATAGCCATCAAGACGTTGCCACTGCAGCAGCTTGCTAGCACCGTGACGACGACCCACATGACGTGCATTTCTATCCAAAACTGCTGCTAAGTCGCCTGAGCTCGTTCATTTCACGTTTACCGTTTGCCCTCTAATTAGCTGGCAGTGTCATGATGTATGCTGAATTAGGATAAACCCACCTGGTCACCTGCCAAAGCCCACCGGATAAACGGACGAGCAGATCAATACATGTATGTATCCATGCAAGCAAGCTGGCGATGGGAAGTCCCAAGCTACGACCTCTGGAAAGATTGCTTGTCCTACAGCTTCTGGCCATCTAGTAGGACAACCCTAAACCCTAAAACCTAAAACCCTAAACCCTAAACCCTAAACCGAAGACTCCCAAAGCCGCGGAGGTTGCCGCTTCTGGCAAGCCAGCGCCCCAGAGCAATGCAGTGGGTCAGGACGCTGGGATGGGCTTTGGAGCTGTTCAGAGTCAGTGGCTTCGAGTAGCAGTGGGTTTTAGGGTTTACATAAGGTGTTAGGATATTGCGATTTAGGTTTAGGGTTTGTGGGTTTAGGTCTAGGGATTTTGGTTTAGGGTTGCAGGTTTAGAGTTTAGAGAAGCCTAGGTTAGAGAACAGGGTTTGGGGCTCACGCTCGTAGTGCAAGCATGCCAGCGAGATTCCCCAGGGCCGACCACACAAAGCTCCGCCTGCCTTCAAATCTCAAGTAATCTCATGTCCTGCTGATCCAAAAACCTGACGGCCACAAAGAAAAAAGGTACTTTCAATTCCACACGGCCCCTAAACCCTAAACCCTAAACCCTAAACCCTAAACCCTAAACCCTAAACCCTAAACCCTAAACCCTAAACCCTAAACCCTAAACCCTAAACCCTAAACCCTAAACCTGGGGATTTTTGTGAGGTGGATGCGGAATCTAGCGGTGGGCTCTGCAGCTTCGACCTCAGAGTGCCAGACTTTTGGGCTTGGGGTTGAGGGTTTAGGGTTTAGGGTTTAGGGTTTAGGGTTTCGGGTTTCGGGTTTCGGGTTTCGGGTTTCGGGTTTGGGGTTTGGGGTTTGGGGTTTGGGGGTTTTAGAGGTTTACCAGATAGAAAGGATTGAGGGTTGAGTCGTTCGCAGTCCAGTTGCGAACAAGTTGTGGTTTAGTTGTGCCAGGGTGGGGGGGGCGGGGGGTGGGGTGGAGTGGGGGGGTGGGGGGTTGGGGTGCAAAAAGGGTGGTAGGCCTAAGGGGTTGGTGTGAGGAACCCCTAACCCCCTAAACCCTAAACCGCTGTGCCCATATATCCTCACAAAGCTAGACCTGTGATCCTTGGACACTGGCTGTGCCCTCCAACACTAAACCCTCAGCCCCGAACACCCAGGTGTTGGACGTGTTTGTGCTGAAACTGGAGAACCCGGTCTTACTTGCGTCCAATGCTGTGTCCTCCTGGCCTGGTTGCAGCCTGGTGCGGTTTTTAGGGTTTGGGGGTTTAGGGTTCAGGGTTTAGGGTTTGACTGCAGGAGCAGGGCAAAGCCAAGAAAGGTTAACCCTAAACCCTAAAGACACCTTAACCGGGCTCGAGCGGGGTGGTGCATTTTCAACTCTGGCTGCTCGCTACGGTGGCTTAGTGGCCAGGAAACTGTGCTGACTGAAGGGGCCCAAGCATGAATCTGGCAAAATGCGAAAAGCGTCCGCGCTTTAGACGTGCTTAGGCCCATCCACTTGCACAACTTTCCTATCTGTTGGATGCTGCTCATTTGCATTGTGTCAGTGTTCAAGAATATTAAACCAACTATTATTACGTACAAACAGTAACATCTGCCAGGAGAACCTTAGAACAAAAGATCCAAACCCAAAATGACCCCCAATCATGTACCAAACCATTCAAGTGGCATCAACCTTAATACATTGGAGCCCAGCAACCAAATAAACCATTTTGCCCCAGAAATCATTTTGTCTGATTAGTTTGCAACAATCTGGACTGGCGATGAGTTTTATGCCAAAGATTTTAAACTAGCGTTTTTGAATTAAATATAGTTGGATGTATATTGCTCAATAGGAGGGTTTCGGTATGCACATAATTTGATTTATCCATAGAATCGTTTAGGTCATTTTGTCATTTCTATCTATGATAACATAGGGTCTCCAATATCATGGCAAGGGGTTCTCCAGTATGTAGATTTTTCAGATTTGTTTACTTGTTTATCGACTTATCTATTCATGTATATATTTGTTTTTCATGGGCCTTGAAGGGACAAGGTTTCCGTCTCTTCTCACACGACAACCCCCATTTCATTGGAATGAATTCGATTTCTATTTTTTCGAGATATGTATATATGTATGTATGTAAATATATATATATATAGATGTATATATATTTATATATGTATATATAAATATGTTCTTTGCTACCCGTGTTGCAGCCGCAGGGGTGTCGCCCCCAAGACGGAATAAATTGACCTCTTGCTTGTATGACCATCTGAAATGAGGGTATTTGAGGCCGGGGCGAGCGAGGTGGCACCCCCAACCGACAAGGGTTTAGGGTTGAGGGTTTCGAAAAGGGTTTGGGTCACAAGAAGTTTGGAACGAAATATTTTAAACTTAAACGAAATGTTTTGACCGAAATGTTTTGTTTTTTGGAGTTGTGGTTTTCATTTTGTGGAAGGAGGGGGGGGGGGGGGGGGGGGGGGGGGGGG